CTTTAGTAGTATAATGTAAACATTTGACATTATATTGCAGAAGCACTAATTTCTCAGCACTTGACAACTATTAATTTAATACAATGATCACTCTGTTGTGCATTTGTAGTAACAAGTAGAATTTGACTTTGAGTTTAGTGGAAGAGCAATACATTTTAGGTCACTTTCTTCATATTCTGTATATTCTTTATGTCTAGATCAAAGATGATTTATCATTGATGTTTTGTATGATATTGGTGTTTTTCTCCCTATGAGATTTTGAAGTGGTAGATTTGCTATTCTGTTTTTAATTCATCCTTTTGAGATATATAGATTGGTCTGATTCTATGAAAACATAATTCCATCCAGGAGTATGGAAAATAATTGGAATGTGGTGCGACTACAGAAAGGGAGACTATGCCCCTGCTTAAAATATTTAAAAGTGTGTCCTTGTGTTTATGACAGAGTTTAGCCTACTTGGAATGGCAGTATAGTAAGTACTGTTAATAGTGCAAGTTCTAGAATTCCCAAATAGGACTTTTTCTTGAATAATTTCTGTTGCCTAAGTAGAATTAAATATCTAAACATTACATTTAATTCCTGAAGTCTCTTTTGTTTAATATTATGAACGATAGTAGACCAAACCATTTTACAAAAATTAGACTTAATTCATATTCTGATGTCTATTAGTCTGCTTTATATTTATTTAAAATGAATTTACTTCAATAACAGCATTTATTTATTTTACAAATACCAGTTGGGTGCCTACTGGTAGGTTCAGGTATGTTTTGTTGAATGACATACCCATTGGTCTTAGCCTTCTTGTAGCTCACAGTCTGATGGAGGAGGAGTCAGTAAACAAAGCAAGAGAATGTAATACACACATGCACAATTTCAAATTGCTGTGAGTGCTATGAAGGAAACGAACATGATTTAGGAGTACAATTAAGGAATGTCTCCTTGGGGAGAGGAGGTTTTGAGTCAAGACCTGGATGGAGAAAAGTTAACTGTGTAAAGAGCAAGGGGAAGAGCATTTCAGGCAGAAAAAACTGACATGTGCAAAGGCCTTAAGTAGGAAGGAACTTGGTATGTTTAAAAAAACGCAGAAAGGAGGCCAGCATGTTTGGCACAGAGTGACTGAAGGGTAGGGTGGTACAAGTTGATTTTGGTCAGTCAGGGCTCTAGTCCTGTGGGAGCTTTGGAGGCTGTGGTAAGGAGCTTGAATTGTGTTGGGTTGTCGGAAAAGTCATGAGGCATTTTTGCAACAAAAAAACATAGAAAAAATACGCCATGACTTTTCTGACAACCCAATATTTAAAATACAGTGGGAAGTCATTGGACACTTATTAACAGGGGAAATACATGATCTAATATATGTTTAAAAAACTATTTGTCTCTTTTAGGGAGAATAGATTGGAAGTAAACAAAAGTAGAAGCACGGAACTAGTTAGGTTGTTGCAGTACTGCCAAGAGATCAAGGGGTCCTAATAGGGTGATTGCAGCAGAGATGAAAATGAGTGGACAAAATTGAGATGTATCTTGAAGATGGTCTTTAGCAGTGCCCTCCAACAGAAATCTAATGTGAGCCACATAGGGAATTTTAAATTTCCTTGTAACCCATTTTTAAAAAGTAAGAAAGTAACAGATGAAATTAATTGTATAATACGTTATTTAACCAAGTATACCCCAAATATCATTTCAACATGTAATTAAATATAAAAAAATAGTAATTGCACATTCTTTTTTTCCTAGTAAATCTTTGAAATCTGGTGTGTATTTTACATTTACAACACATCTCAATTTGGACTATCCACATTTTAAGTGCTCTATAGCCATATATGTCTAGTGGCTACTGTATTGGACAGTGAAAATCAATAGAGTTTACTTATGAGTTGGCTCTTGGGTATGCTAGTCTCCCACTCATAGCCTGTGTAGAACTATCTAGAAAATTCTCCTATGTAATTTCCCCTTTCACACTCATGCACTTGGGAGTATGGTTCTTACTACTGAGAATACTCTTCCATGCTGTGACTATTTTGTAAACTCTTCATTCCATATAGATAAGCATTACAGTAGTTATGTATATCAGCTTTTGGTGTTGAAACCAGAGGCCAAATGAGTCTGAGTCTGGGGCTTGTGCTGCCTGAGCCGCTCAGCCAATACACCGACACAGAAGTTGGGTCATATTGTAGAATGAACGTTTATTATCAGAGCACCGGTGGTCTGAGAAGGCAGCGGGTTAACACCTCCAAAAACTGTCTTAACATTCTCAGACTAGCCTGGGATATTTAAGGGAACATAGACATTCCATCAGAGGCCACATAGTGGTTGGTATTGGGGGTCTGCATGGAGCCTTCCATGGAGGTTTCCCTCAGGCGATGTGGCTCTCCAATGTGGTCATCAACCCAGGAGCAGTGATGACAGTAACTTGGAAAGAATGCTAGGCCATAGAGATCATGATCAGTAAGCATGCGGGTAATGCATCATAAGCAAGGGGTATTGTGATCATAAGCGAGGGGTATTGTGATCAGAAAGCAAGCACAGTTTCAGGGTAATTTATCTAAAGCAAGGAACTAGACAGGGGATATTCCAAACTCAGGAACTGGGACAGGGGACATTCCAAGCTCAAACTGCAGGGATGGGGTTGATCAATTGTTAAACTCTAGGGCAGGGAGAGGCGAGGCCAGGTTCATTGCAAGGCCTTTTTTGTGGGGGTCCCAACCAGGCCCTGTTTCAGTGTCAGACATACTGTGCTTGTGAAGCTTTTCTCTGACTCTTAATAACTGTATGTCCTTGTGTCATAATGTCTCTGGTGCTCAGTTTTTTTTTGGTTTTTTTGGTCCTCCCTTTTCTTATGTGTAAAAAGGAAAATAATCATTTGGATGATGTCAAGATTAAATGAAATAATGCATATAGAGTGCTTAACACAATGCCCTACCTATAATAATTCCTCAACAATAGCTTATTATTATCATTGTCATCTATTAGAAACACACGGATGTAGTTTGGTATAACGTAGTATTATTGTGCATTGGAGTCAGATGGATTTCGGTTCTAATCATAGTTTAACCTCTTAATTTCTCTGTGTCCTGTGTAAATTATTTAATCTCTCTGAGCTTGTTTCTTTATTTAAAATGTTAGCAATACCCACTTCATAAGCTTATTGTGAGAATTAAATGTGTGCTTGTCACCTAGTTAATAAATGATAGTCAGTAAATGTTATAGTTTTCCTGCTTGGAAAGTTAACTTAGACTTATTATCATCATTTATAAAAAAAATAATGCATACATTGCAGAATATAAGGATTATAAGTAAAATATGAGGTGCACCTGGCACAGTACCTAACAGTGTAGACACACCACAAATGCTAGCAATTATTGCCTCTTTTCAAGACAGCTCAAATGCCTTTTCTAACCTAACCAGGGATAATTAGTTCAATCTCTTTTTTCTCACAGCACTATTTAGATTTACCTGTCAGAGTCTTCAATACATATAAACGTTTTTCCTCTGCGCTGAGAGCCCTTTGAGGGTAAACATTTTTAATTCATCTCATCTCAGGCCTTCAGCATAGTGCCAGACACTTTGGTAATTGCTTCCCTAAGTTTATTGATATACTCCAGAAAAGTATAAAAATCGGTATTGGGGGAGGAAATACAGCATAGTGATTAAGATCAGAGACTTTAGTGTTAAATAATCTTGGAATCAAATTTAGATTTCCATTTGTAAGTTGCATGTCATTGGGTAAATTTTTCAACTTCCTCTTGGCCTCAGTTTCCTCATCTGTAAAATGAGAAAACAACAACCTGCTAGACTTTTCACAAGGAATGTGTGAGGTTTGGTCTTGAAGACATTTAGCTCAATTCCTGTCACATAAAGTATTCAATGTAGAGCATGGTAAATTTGCAAATTAAAGTGAACAATACTTTGCAACCTGGATGGCACAGTGTAATTCAGAAATTTGCAAGGACAGCTCTGAGCTCTCACCCAAACAAGTGTTTATGCAATTCTTTGCAGACATTTCTTTTACATATTCTCTTAATTGTGAAATGAGCATTATTTGTAAAGCTAAAGCATATGAAGAAGAAACTGTATGAATTAAAGTTAAAAATATTTCAGCATTCTATGATGAAATTTTTCAAACCAATGAGAAAAAACAAAGGTCTAATCAAGATGATTTTCTAGCAGGGTCATGTGCTTTTCTTAATCTCTCAGAAGAAATGATAGGCTATTATTAACAATTGACACTTTACAACAGAGCACGCGAAGGAAAAATATTTCATGAGGATCAATGAGTAAAGTGTGTGGGGGCTAAAAAAATTAATACTTTTCCTCCCACCTTCTAAGTTGTAGCCGGGCTAATATTCAAATTAACAGAGACAGATTAACAGGAGAAAAATGAAAATTTTAATACATGCACATGAGGAATGCACATATGCATGAAAATTCTAAAGGCAGTGAGGCAACATTGAGTATATAAGATATTTTTGACAAAGGAGAAAAGGAAGGAAGGGGGCCGGGTCTTAGATTTCAGAAGTATGAATGGTTGATTTATAGGTAATTGAGGAATTGCTGAACACACCTGGCAGGATAATTCTAGCTAAACTCAGAAACAATGGGAAATGGGGTATCTAGGTAACTGGCCCCTTCCTGAAGCCCTCCTATTTATCATAATTAATTCAAATCAGGCTTAGTCAACATCCTAAGATTTGCTTTGTGAAGCAGATCTTTCTGTCTGAATCTTTTGGGCAGGAAATGGGGGAAGGTCAAAGGTTCTCTGAGTCTTTTGTTTCTTAAGAAACAGCTTAAAATCAATATCCGCAAAAGGCAGCTTCAGGGTGGCAAAACTTTGGTTTTCTTCAATATTTTATAGGAAGATGTCTGATATTTCCTCACTTGTGTCCTTAAGGATGTTAGATATCAAAAGTGTATATTTTTTATTAGCTAGGGAAATTTTAGGTCAAGTCTGTATTATCTATTTAAGAAGAAAACCCTAACTGTCCTTAGAATTTCTGTTTCCATAGTATGGAAGATTTTTATCCAAATAAAAATCATGGCCCTGACTCTGGAATTGGAAGTGACAATGGAGAGAAACGATTATCTACAACAGAAGTGAGTACTTTTTATTGCAGATCTATTTTATTTAAAAAATTTGTTAGAACTTTGAAATAAACACTTGCACATACTTGATTTATTTTGCTTAAAAATATAATCATCATTGCATTTGATAACTTCAAATGAAAACAAGACATGCACATTTTTAAAAGCAGAATATTAAACCTTAACATTAATTTTTGTTTTGAAAACTGGAGATATATCTTTACACTATTGATTATATTCCCCATACTGTATTTCACATCCCCATGATTATTTTGTGACTACCAATTTGTACTTTCTAATCCCTTCACCTTCTCCCCCATCTCCACTCCCTCCCATCTAGCAACCATCATTTTTTTCTCTATATTTCTGAGTCTGTTTCCTTTTTTTTTTTTTTTTTT